AAGCTGGGCCTCCCAGTTTCTGGAGGACCTCCTGTTTCTGGAGGACCAAGCACTTCAGGTTCCTGCATGCTCTGCCCTGCCCTTTCTGCAGGCAAAGGCAAAGAAGAAATCACCTCCTTCTACAGAAAATGGATTTTTCTACAGAGTACAGAAAGCAGGGCCATGAAACCCCTCCAGGATGATGTGAGGAGATAAAACACAAATGTGAAGAGAGGAGCTTGCTGTGGTGAAAGGTGTAAGGTGGTCTTTGAAAAGTAGGTCCTACCTTAGTCCAATGTGGTCTTTGCAGTTGTATGGCTGGTTGTGAATCTTCTTTGGAGATAATCCCCATGGAAGCAGTCGAGGTGCAGCTGGTTTAGACGGTGGGAAGTGGAGAAGCTGGTGGGATGACTCCAGAAACAGTCCCTGGTAGTGGATGAGATGTGGTGCTGGGATGTTCCCTGCAATGCCTGGAAGTGAAGTTGCAGGTAGGGAAGAGCCTGAAGCCATTCTTCTCTCAGTGTCTTTGAGCTCTTTCATCCTCTCCATCTGAAGCAGAAACAAGAACATGCCAGTGGTCAGTTCATGCTCAGTTGCCCACAACAAACAAGGTACCATCCTGAAGCGTGTCCCAAATGATGGGGCCTATCTCAAATCTCCATCCCTCCCCTCACAAGATGCTGCCAACTTCCCTTGACAATGAAAAACAAGCAGAAGGCAGCAGCACAACGAGTGACCTGTATGATCATTTGGGGACTTAAAGTCTTCCACCCATGGTGGGGAAAGATGCATCCCTGCAGCAGGGCGACCTCAGAAGAACTCAGGTGAGCAAACTATGAGCAGAATGCACAGTAGTGAAGTAGAGTCTGCTCCCAACCCAAATAGTGTTGAATATCGCATAGGGTGTAGAGACACACAGTGTAGCATAGAAGGCCAATGCTGTGAGGTTCAATAAGGCCAAGTGTCGGGGTCCTGCACTTGGGCCACACCAACACCATGGACGCTCCAGGCTGGGGGAAGAGTGGCTGGAGCTGCCTGGAGGAAAAGGATCTGGGGGTGTTGCTTGACAGTGGCTGAATATGGGCCAGCAGTGTGCCCAGGTGGCCAAGGAGGCCAACAGCATCCTGGCCTGTGTCAGGAACAGTGCGGTCAGCAGGACTGGGGCACTGATGGTCCCCCTCTACCTGGCACTGGCGAGGCCCCACCTCGAGGGCTGTGCCCAGTTTTGGGCCCTTCACAACAGAAAAGACATTGAGGGGGTCCAGAGAAGGGCAATGGAGCTGGTGGGGGATCTGGAGCACAACTCTTGTGAGGAGAGGCTGAGGGGGCTGAGGGTGTTCAGCCTGGAGAAAAGGAGGCTGAGGGGAGACCTTCTCACTCTCTCCAACTCCCTGAAAGGAGGGTGTAGCCAGGGAGGTCGGTCTCTTCTCCCAAGGAACAGGCAATGGGACAAGAAGAAACGGTCTCAAGTTGCACCAGGGGAGGTTCAGATTGGAGATCAGGAAAAATATTTACACTGAAAGGGTTATCAAACATTAGAAGAGGCTGCTCAAGGAAATGGTGGAGTCACCATCCCTGATGGTACTTAAAAGATGGGCAGACGTGGTGCTGAGGGACATGGTTAGTGGTGATTTGGGCAGTGTTGGGTTGATGATTGGACTAGATGATCTAAAAGGTTCCTTCCAACCCAGACAATTCTACGATTCTAGAGAATAGGGGGGTTCTTTCATATTTGCACTATTTGCTAATCCTAGTGTCAGTGAGGATAAAAAAAGAAGAAAGTCTGTAGACCTGCAGGACAGTAAGAGGTGGTGCGTCCACACCACAGTCAGCCTGTACCCCTCACCGTTTGACACCTAGGAGACCCTGACTGACCTTCCATTGTGCTGCATGACCTCTTTTCACTGTGCGCCTCAGCTTTTGACTTGACCCTGGCATCAGGCAGGACAAGGCCTGGTGAGATGAAACCTCACAGTAACTTGGGTCTCAGAAAGGAGAGGTGTCCCCTAGCCACCAGGCTCCTGCCTCCTGATGGGGGACAGAAAGAGAAGGAGCTTCCACAATCAACTGCCCAGTCCCAAACAGCCCAAGAACTGCAGCAAAATTAGTTGAAAGTTTCCCTCCCTCCCACCTGTGCTTTCTTATCTCAAACGTAAACAGCCAGAGGGAGAAGGCTCAATAATGGAGCTGATTTTCTTCCTCCCCTCTACTAGAGGAGCTGCTTACAAAAGTCACCAAGAAAGTGGTTTCTATAGAACTTTGATTTCAAGACCAGTTGTTTTGTCTAAACAATTGCAAGCAGCTTTATCTTGCTTTCTGTTATTTTTGTCAGGGGGAAACTACTCGATACTTTTATACTCGATAAAAAAAATAATATAACCAGTGAGCATTTCTATCCTATCAGACAACAGACTTAGGAGCAGAAATTTCAAATCTAAAAGTTTCTGTGGTTGTTGGGTCTTTGCTCTCGAGAGACCAAAGCCAAGTAGGCGCATCCCACCTGGGCTCCAGGCAGAGCATGGCACTTGGTGCAGCAATAGGGGCCTGCTTGAACTAAGGACACCAGCAAACACAACCCCAACATTTCTGCTTTTTCCTCTCCCCACCCTTTTGTTACTGCAAAAAAAAAAATAAAAAATATGGAACTATGAGAATAAACTTATCAACTTCTGGGGGGAGTCCATGTGTCCAGGGAAAAGCCAAGACACTCTAGGGTCAGTCCCACGTAAGCCAAGGTCTCTCCAGGGTGGATCTGGGTGATGCCGAGCTGAAAGAAGTGTGAGGATGGATAAAGTCCAGGAAGAAAGATTGAAGGCCAACAACTCTATTCATGTTAGATCTGTAATTCAAACCTCTTCAGAGCACAGCAGAACACCAGAGCTGCCTGCAGGACAAGAATCACCTCATGGAAAGCTGAGCCAGAGACTACTCTTGGGCTAGGGAGAAATTGAAGTAGTCATCCATGGACTGGTCCTGCTGGCCTCAGGTCTACGGATGCCACCAAGAGAAAAAGAAAGCAGCCAGAAGCAGCACCAGTGTCATTCAGCCATTTTGTCTTTCTCCTGTTTCTACCTGTTTAAGCAAAAACAGCTCCTAAGGGCATCCCCCAGGTCTCTGACCAGGTGAACCTCTCATCATTGTTTCTCCTTCTTCCGATGTCACCTCCCCAGTGAGGGACAGAGCATTTTGTGGAGGGTGCCTGACCTGCTGTACCCCCTCCCCAACTCATCAGCCCACGTCTCAGCCCCAGAAGGACCTCCCCACTCAGACAGGTACTTCTCCACAGTCATTTGCTGCTTCTCCACCTCTGGCATCTCCTTCTCACCACGTGCACCAAGCAGTTTCTCCTCAAAGTCCGTTTGCATCTTCTTCATTTCTATTTGCAACTCTTCTGTGTGGTCAGTTTTGTGTCCAGCTGCAGAGGCAACAAATATGGGCTGAGCAGAGACATACAAGGAGTATGTGGGTATACAGGGATGGGGGGGCTTCCTTGCTTTTCCTAAAAACCTCTCAAAACCTTGGCCACCCAACCCTCATGCAGTACTGCAGTCCCACAGCCAGAGACAACCCTTCGTGCCTCTGCCTAATCCAAGGGGCAAAAACACTCCCCAACAGTGATGGCCCCGAGTTTCCCAGTGAACACAGAGTCACAGGATGGTTTGGGTTGGAAGGGACCTTAAAGATCATCCAGGTCCAGCACCCTGCCATGGGACACCTCCCACAAGGCCACATATTCACACAGGCAGCGACTCCTTTCACTGAATTTCACTGAATTTTTTAGAGTTGGAAGGGACCATAGAGATCATCTAGTCCAACTCCCCTGCTGAAGCAGGATTGCCTAGAGCTTGTCAGAGCATGTTACTCAGGAGCATCCAGGTGGGGCTTGAAAATCTCCAAGGAAGGGGACTCCACACCCTCCCTGGGCAGCCTGTTCCAGGGCTCTGTCACCCTCACCGTGAAGAAGTTTCTCCTCATATTTGAGTGGAACCTCTTATGTTCCAACTTGTGCCCGTTGCCCCTCGTCCTCTCAGTGGGAACCACTGAAAAGAGTCTGGCTCCCTCCTCCTTCAACCCTCCCTTGAGATACTTGTAGGCGTTGATAAGGTCTCCCCTCAGCCTTCTCTTCTCCAGACTAAAGAGTCCCAGCTCTCTCAGTCTCTCCTCATAAGGGAGATGACTGCAGCAACAGGAACAGCATTTTTCAGTTCTGCTCCATCACAGCTTCTGAGATTTCCTGCCAGACAGAAGCTCCAGGGAACTACCCGACTCCTGTGAGTTCAAGAGGCAGGGGAGACCCACGCCCACAGCTAAAATGTTGTTGTCCCTCCCTGTGATAGCTCCAACCCGTTTGTTTTGTTTTTTTCTGGTTTTTTTTTTGTTTTGGTTTTTTTTTAAATTAAAATGTAAGCATGTGCTCTGTCAGAAAGATCAAGCACAACTTTTACAGCTGTAAGGTCCTGCACCAAGGTCACGGCAATCCCAGGCACAAATCCAGGCTGGCTGAAGAGCAGCCCTGAGTAGAAGGACTTGGGGTGCTGGTGAATGAGAAGCTCAACACGCACAGCAAGGTGTGCTGGCAGCCCAGAACCACCCACCCCCCCATCCTGGGCTGCATCAAAAGACGTGTGGCCAGCAGAGCAAAGGGGGAGATTCTGCCCCACTCTGGGGAGACCCCTCTGTGAGTCCAGCTCTGGAGTCATCAGCACAAGAAGGACATGGACCTGTTCAAATGAGTCCAGCAGAGGGTCACAAAGATCTTGCGAGGGCTGGAGCCCCTCTGCTGGAAGGACAGGCTGAGAGAGTTGGGGGCCTTCAGCCTGGAGAAGAGAAGGCTCCAGGGAGACCTTAGAGCCCCTTCCAGTCCCTCAAGGGGCTCCAGGAGAGATGGGGAGGGACTCTGGATCAGGGGTTACTAGGATGAGGGGTTATGGTTTGACACTGAAAGAGGGGAGATGGAGCTGAGATGTGGGGAAGAACTTGTTTGGTGTGAGGGTGGTGAGAGCCTGGCCCAGGTTGCCCAGAGAAGCTGTGGCTGCCCCATCCCTGGAGGGGTTCAAGGGCAGGTTGGAGGGGGCTTGGAGCAACCTGGTCTGGTGGGAGGTGTCTCTGCCCAGGGCAGAGGTGGGACTGGATGGTCTTTAAGGTCCCTTCCAACTCAAACCACTCTATGACACTATTTAACTTATCAAATACCCATCAGTCTCATTAGGAAGCTAAAATCCACTCCAAGACAAACCACAGATACGACTCTATCTAAAACTTGCTTTCAGCCCATTGAGGAAAGTTCATTATTCTCTTTTCCCCTAAACCCTGTCCTAAGCAAATTGCTTCTCCAAAGCTGTTTGTGAGGTTTCAGAGGAACACGCCTCTCACTTGCCATTAAAAAACAGACCAGAATGCAAAGGTACTCAGAGCTAGGAATGGAAAATATTTACAGAACACCACAAAGGCAAATTAACCAAATAGCACACGTTAATGGGAAAAACTAGGAGAAGAATTAGACATGCCAGATCAGCAAAATTGTCCTCAGCGGCTCAGCCTCTGCCGAGGACCACAAACCCTGAGGCCCATGATAGATGTGTTTCCCTCCCCCAGACACCTCTCAGCAGCCCACGCCGAGATGAGGAAATGAAAAAGCAATGCAACCCTGCGTCCAAAGAAATTCAGCACCTGGCAAAGGTGAGTTTTGATTTATCTAGATAAGCTCCCTGGCCTGGCTTACACAGGACACTCTGACTTCAGCCACCCCCATCCAGACAAAGTGTAGTCACACTGAGCAAGTGTGAAGTCTTGTGGAGTAAGGAGGGGATGGGTTTGGTGACCCCGAGTACAGTTGCCTGTGGCCCTGGAACTGCCCCAAAAGCATCCCTGGTAACTTGAGGCCATTTCCTCTTGTCCTGTCGCCTGTGACTTGGGAAAAGAGACCGACCCCCACCTCTCTACACCCTCCTTTCAGGGAGTTGGAGAGAGCAAGAAGGTCTCCCCTCAGTCTCCTCTTCTCCAGGCTGAATAACCCCAGTTCCCTCAGCCTCTCCTCATAAGACTTGTTCTCCAGACCCCTCACCATCTTTGTCGCCCTTCTCTGGACCCGCTCCAGCCCCTCAATGTCTTTTTTATGGTAGGGGGCCCAAAACTGGACACAGTACTCAAGGTGAGGCCTCACCAGTGCCGAGTACAGGGGGACAATCACCTCTCAGTCCCTACTCCCCACGCTGTTCCTGACACAGGCCAGGATGCTGGTGGCCTTCTTGGCCACCTGGGCACACTGCTGGCTCCTGTTCAGCCGACAGTCGACCAACACCCCCAGGTCCTTTTCTGCCAGGCAGCTCCAGCCACTCTGCCCCCAGCCTGTAGCGCTGCAGGGGGTTGTTGTGACCCAAGGGCAGGACTTGGCACTTGGCCTTGTTGAACCTCATCCCGTTGGTCTCGGCCCATCCATCCAGCCTGTCGAGATCTCTCTGCAGAGCCTCTCTACCCTCCAGCAGATCAACACTCCCACCCAGCTTGGTGTCGTCTGCGAACTTACTGAGGGTTTAAGAGGCATTTAAGTTACATTCCAATTAAACATAAGTTAAATATTTCACTATGCTGAAGGCTGACAACAGCGCACAAGGTTAGTCTTTGCTGGACATCTAACTCCTGAGTAGACATCCTTGATAATATCCTTGATGTTCATCCATAAAACGCTACCAAATTTATTGACAGAAATCCGAAAAAGCTACAATAAGCTTTGAAAACAGAGCACAGCCAAATAAACACACACAAAATAAGCCCAGGTGAACCCCCCCCGGGCACTCAGGAGGAAAGAAAGGTCTCCCTTCAGCCTGAGCTCAACCAAAGGGACAACAAAAAGAATGACAAAGGGACAACAAAAAAAATGACAAAGGGACATGTCAGGGCCAGGATAGGCCAAGGTCCTGGTTCATGTCAAAGACCTCCGGGTGAGAGGAAAAACAAGGCAGCATCATTTGTTTCTGTGTGCCGTTAGGAAAGTTTACTGTAATTTTTAGCCTTTTTCCAGTCCAACAGGATCAGGAACTTGGGAAAGAGATTTCATGCTCTCAATCACACCGTCTGGAATCAATAAAGGCTACGGGCACTCCCAAAATCCTCTGAGTTCAGGGGTTGGGACCCTTAAGGGAAGAAAATATACTAATAACAACAACAGCAATAAGAACATCAGCAGCAAAGAGAAAACTCCCGCAAGAGACAGAGATTTTTTCTCCCTAATTAACGGGCCAAACCCCTGGCTAAAGAAAGAAATGAGACATTAACGGTTTTTCCCCCCCTCTTTAGAGGGAACAAAGGTTTAACAGACAGCGCTGCCTGGAACATCAGCGGCTTCAAAACAGGCTCATTAGCTCCCAAAGCCCAGGGAGAAGGACAAAGAAACCACAGACCTGCAATCAGGACCCTGGCGGTCCCCACTGGGCTGGGCTTTGCCTTTCCATCACAGAGAAAAGCTTTGGATCCCAAAGCTTTTGGGATCCCAAAGCTTTTGGGAGACTCTGGGGTCTCCACCTACCAAAACCTGAAAATAAATTTGATTTATCAAAGCCGGGCTTTGCCTTTCCGTGACACAGAAGCTCCTCAAAAGGCTTTGGATCCCACTTTCAGGGTCTCCATCTACCCAAACCCGAAAATAAACTCGATTATCAAAACACACAAAGCGCAACTTCACGTGCTACAAACGCTCCCAGCAAAGTTTTGGGGTTTTTTATGAACTCACAGAGGCAGATTTTTTCAGCCCATCCCTCAGCCGGGCGCTATAACGGGGGGGGCACAACCATCTCCTCCTCCGGCTTGTGATGCGTAAAGAGCCCGGGGACCCCCGGGGCTGAGGCCTTACCCCAAAGCGAGCAACACCCAGGGCTCAACTCAGTATTTTTGGAGTCTCCTGAAAATGCAAAATTAAAGGGTAAAAATAGAAATATATTATTTTTATTATTATTTTTTGTTGTTGCAAAGTAGCGCCGCCCTTTGCCAAGCCCCGGATGCCCCCCAATCAAGCGCCCAAGCGGCAACTAAACCCAACCAACGTGTCCCCCCCCCCAAAAAAACCCCCAAAAAACAGTACAACGAGTGTTTTTATAGCGATCGCCGATAAGTTAAGGTGGAAAACAAAAAAAAACCCGAGTTTTTGTTAACTCTTTTAAGAGCTGGAGCCGGCGGGACCTCCCGGTTCTGGCCCCCGGTGGAGGAACCGCGACACCGGGACCCCCCGGGACCCCCCCATCCAGGTTTCCTGAGCCAGAGGAACCGCCACGCCGGCT